AACCCCTCTAATGCAATGTCCAAATCCTTTTCAAGAATTGTTTATATCCACCTTAGTGCCACCTGTCTTTAGCATCCAATATTGTCATATTGCCTATCTTGATTTCAGATCACTGTACCATTATTTGTATTATCACTCCTGCTACAGCTCATGCTAAATCTCGTAGATGGCGCTTTAACGACTCCCTGCTGTGTGATGCTACATTTATGGACCAACTGAGATCTGGGCTTACAGAATTCTTGGAAATTAATACAGATCATTTCTCAAACACTTAGGTGTTATGAAGTTACTAAATGCTATCTACGAGGGAACTGCATTGCCATTTTCATTATCTTGAACAAGAAATAAGGTCTTTGGAGCACCAGCAGACCCAGTCTTTCTCGGAAGAGGCTTCTGTAGAGACTGGGGGTCTATCCGATCATGGGGAGTTTGCATATCGTAATTAATAATTCATAATTAATAATTATTCATACAGGTTTGGATCAGATCAGTCTTGCATGTTATTAAATCTCACGATAAGGGATGATATGTTATTTTACCTGCATGCATGCATGTGTCTCTTGGTAATTAACCACAAGTTGATTGCAATTAATTACACAGATCATGTTTTACTAACACAGTCTCATCCCAAATCGTCATATAACTGACGTTTTGGGACGTATTTTGACCATACGTCAATATCCGCCTTTTTAGGGCCCCCTTAAACGTCGGTAGATGGCGATCCCGGGCCGTCATACAACTGACGCTTTACCTTTAACGTCAGTTAGGTGACGGGTTAGGTTTAGGGTTAAGTTTAGGTATGGGGTAGAGTTAGGATCCCATAACCTCATCTACCGACGTTTAAGGGGGCCCTAAAAAGGCGAATATTGACGTATGGTCAAAAGACGTCCCAAAACGTCAGTTATATGACGATTTGGGATGAGACCGGGTTGGTTTTACAAACAGGTAAAAAATTAATTAGCTCAATTGTCAGAATAATATTTTGGGGATTAATTTATGATTGACCCATCTGCTTGTCCCCCAAGCTTGATCATTCGATCTCCATCAAAACCCACAACATCATCCTACTTTATAGACTTTCAGGAGAAACCAACCTGTGGCCACAAGAATTAGTTTTCCTGCTCTATAAACAAATACTCTTTAAAGTATCTTTAATTTGTAAAGCTCCTCTACACCAATAAACTAGTGTGTAGTTGGCATTTGAGCACAATATGGCTGCTGTCGCAACATCAAGGTGGATGCTGCACATTGGTGGTGGTTGGGGAGATTTACCCCTTCCATATGTAAATAATTGTAACAAATTATTATTATTACGTTGGGGGACTACTGTAATCTTAAAATGTCAGCTCACGCTTACTTTTAACAGTTAGGTTTTAGTTTTGGTGTAGAGTAGGTGGGATGAGTCAAATGCGATAGAGCGTTATTAGCACCACTCTGGATATTTTATTTACAAACTGCATAATACGTTGTTATATTTATCTTTATCTTTTTTCAGTTAAAACTTAACACATATTCAGTGGCACTTACTTGACATTGGGAAGTGTCTTGAAACCTGATGTCATCTTTTAGAAATATCGCCACAGGCTTGTTTTTCCAAAGAGACTGGATTTTATGATAAATAGTAAAAAATACAGTCATCATGTATTGTGTTCTTGTATCACATTATGACACAGCAAGTTTGAATATGTGCAAGCATAAACTTTTTTGGAGTTTAATAGCTCCATGGTCACTGCATGATTTTTTTGGGAAGAAATCATCAACATTTTTCAAAACATGCATCCAGGCATACAGGTTTAGAATGTTGATGATTGATTATGGAAGAATACACATTTCTCAGTTTCATGACAAACAAGAGGTAAAGAGGCAGTGAAAGAGGTGTGTGTGGGCAAGGAGGGAGAGATTAATTAGTCTGATAGATTCAGGGCTGTTTAACGAGGCAGAGGATGAGTTCAGAAAGGGTCAGGGAAAAAGGGGTGAGCCAGCGGTATTGTAATTATCCATCTACCGACACAAACGCACACGCAGACACGCTACTCGTGACATTACAGCGAGTTTCCTTCTTGCCTCAGGCAAGGCTTAAAAGAAAAGTCAACATAGTGACACAGTGATGCATATAATCATGCCCTCAGTGGTCATTTCCCAGGCATCCAGCTCAAATCAGTGTTTACATGAAATGCATTTCAAATTGTGCTGGCACTCTAGAGTCAAGTTTTTGCAAAGACTTGTCATTCAGCTTGCTGAAATCTTGGGCTTTTGGTCAAAAGGCAAAGCTATAAAGGCGGTGGTGCTGTTTGTCTGTGTGTGTATTCATAGTTGATGTTGTCAGAGAGGCTGTATGGTTAAATTCAGTGTGCTATTTGTATATAGTTTGTTCTAAATATAACCTAACCATAACAGAAAACGTCCTGCTATTTACAATTAAAAAAAATATTTACGCACCTATGCATTTCTTCTGCTGAAAAGAAGATAATGTTGAAGAATGTTGAAAAGCAAATAGTTCAAGTTCCTAGTGATTTCCATTGTATTTGGTGTTCATGCAATAAAACCAAAACAGATTAGTTATCAACGTTCTTCAAAATATCTTCTTTTGTGTTAACGAGAAGTAAGTCATACAGGTTTGGAACAACATGAGGTATGATGACATAATTCTCATTTGTGGGTGAACTATTTCTTTAAAATACTGTATTTTATACAAATGACAACGTTTTTACAAATGACAACATTCCAGAAAGGACGTTTAGTCAGATTTAGCTCACTTCTGGGTACAAATTGGTTAAGTAGGTACACAAACACACTCACTTCTTTCTAAGGTGTCCTTTAGCGAAATCAGGATATTATCCTGCATGGCTAGATAACGTTTGACTTTCATAGACCAGAGGCACAAACAATCTAAGGATTTGAGGGAATTTGTCAGGTTTTTTTGGGGGGGGGGGGTCTCTGTATTAAACGCTGAGTATTACCCTTCAGCAAATAGGGCGTCCCCTGAGCCTGTGCCGATGAGCAACTCCAATTAGACAAACTGTCTGAAGTGTTTTAAATCGAGTCTTTGCCCTTCATTGTTTCTGTTTCCCTTTCAGTCACAAGCACAAACCCCAATGCATGCATCTCAAAGACAGCACACACACACATCCACAGCCATTTTGTATTAATGGATTATTAATTAGCCTCTGGTTTTGATGCGGCATCTCTTGTTTTTTTAGCTTTATTGAATAAAGCCACAGCTGGCAGAAGCCTCACGGAGAAAGGGATTCCGTTCTTCATCTCTATTCATAAGCACCTCTTGTGCCTAGCAGTGATTAAACTTTTATTCGTTTAGTTCTTTAGTTTCCTTTTTGTGCAACTGTCATCAAGACTTTGATTTTTATTTATCCCATGATGCATACCGCTACATCAAACAGTGCGCCTCATCTTAATATTTTCTAAAAAGACCTTCATCTCTTCATATCATAAGCCCCGATCCTCTCTCTCTTTCAGCCCATAATCACTTTCCACGCAATTGGGTATAAAAAAAGGCCCGGAACTCTTTTTTTTTTCTTTTTTCTATATAGTGATTGAAATGAGGGGCTTAACCTTCTAATAATGTTGATCAACAAGCTCAGAAGACATTTTCAGTGTGATTTGAAATGATAATTACTGAATTTTCTTACTGAAATTTGGGACATAAATTTTATTTAATTTAAAAAGTCCAAATATAGTTTTAAAAGTCTTATTTGTGCAGTTTTAATTTTTGGTAATCAAAATATGCTTGCATTGAGTTTGTTTCAAATGAATTATTACAATTAAAATATTAAATAAAAATGAGTAAAACAATCATAATTGCGTATATTTTTACTTCAATGAGTTTAATATCAGGTCATCAGATTATGTTGAAATTATGATGAAAAAATATGTATCATACTCACAGGGAATGGCAGTAGTTTCAGTCTGTGTACAGTTAGATGGGTAATACTGCCTAAGTTTAAGTTTGAGTCGTGATGGCTGTCTGCATCTCATGTTCATAGTAAAAGACATCTATCTTTAGCTAGCGTGTCACCCAGACTTCTTTTTGTACCACAGAGCGTGGGAGCTTTACAAAACTAAAATAATGTTATTTACTCACAATTTATCTCCCATGCTGCCACATACATTTATTTCACTGCAGACTGAATTTTATCTGATTTTTCTTCTGCAGAGAAATTCACAGAATCTGTTTTTTGAGCACTGTCTTGAACTGTATAGAACCCACAGGTTTTCAATCACTTTGAAAGAACGCAGCAAACACAACACACACAGGGAAACTAATGTAATACTGTGGCTCTGCTGAGGTAACAATCCAATAACAAACCTGAGTGAGTTCTGATGAAGACTGCTGTTTCTGAAACTCAAGTGTGTGATTGTTTGCTCTTTGTTTTGGTGATTGATGGTCTTTATCTATTTCTGCACACAAGCTCTGTATATTCATTCATCCATCCACATTCTTCCCTTCATTTCCAGCAGCTACTCGTCCTGTTATCCTTTCACCCATTTCGTTTTTTATATTTTTCTACCTCATTTTCTCTTCCCTCAAAAGTCTATTTTCTTTGTGGCACTTCATTTGTGTTGGCTCTTTTAGCTTTGCCGTCATGCTTCATTTCAAACTTTTTGTCACTGACAAAAACAATAACAACAACAAAAAAACGAGTGAAAGCACTAAAAATAAGAAAGTACCCGACAATAACTGCAAATTGCTGTAAATGTATCATTAATTCAACATTTCTCCCCTTCATGGTGTGTGTCTGTGTGTGTCCTGTACAAAGTGCCAGGAGTGTTAACAATGAACTTTTCAGTCAGTCTGGTGGATGGTCATTTTCTGCCTGACTGCCCACAGCGGCACTCAAAAAATTAAACTAGCTTTTCAGCATGGATGAATGGATGGGCAGACAAACTAGCTGACAGACAGACAGACTACTATCTTGACAAAATTAATTTCTAGAGTATTGTAGAATTGTCAGTTTCATTCTCAATGTGTTTCTCCTCTTCAGGTTACTCCTGGCCGCTCCCTGCATCACTCTGTCCCATGTGGATCTACTTGGATGTTCTTTTTTCCACCGCCTCCATCATGCACCTGTGCGCTATCTCCCTAGACCGTTATGTGGCCATCCGGAACCCCATCCGACACAATCGATCAAACTCACGCTCCCGGGCCCGGGCCAAAATCACGGCAGTCTGGACCATCTCTGCAGGTACAACATGTGGGCATGACACTGTGCTGTAGTGTGATGTGCAACCCGGTCTCATCCCAAATCGTCATATAACTGACGTTTTGGGACGTCTTTTGACCATACGTCAATATTCGCCTTTTTAGGGCCCCCTTAAACGTCGGTAGATGAGGTTATGGGATCCTAACTCTACCCCATACCTAAACTTAACCCTAAACCTAACCCGTCACCTAACTGACGTTAAAGGTAAAGCGTCAGTTGTATGACGGCCCGGGATCGCCATCTACCGACGTTTAAGGGGGCCCTAAAAAGGCGGATATTGACGTATGGTCAAAATACGTCCCAAAACGTCAGTTATATGACTTTTTGGGATGAGACTGTGTTATGATGTGAAGCCATGAAGCCATCAAGCCATGAAGCTGTTATGAACAGGATGTCATTCTGTCCTATGAGTCATGACTCTGATCTAATGTATGATAACATGGTATTAACCTCTGACTCTGCTTTCAGACTTTGTGAAATCCTAATTTCCTTAATGGTGTGAGATGACATTAGCTGTTTAGAGATGCTACTAAAAAGACAACGCATTCTCACCCCAAGGCGTCACCTTTGACCATGCTTCAATATTTGACGTTTTAGGCGCCCTTTAGCGTCACTTACATGACGCGATCCTACGGCGTCATCTAACTGACGCTAAAGGAAAGCGTCAGTTAGAGGACGCGGTTAGGTTTAGGTGTGGGGTGGGGGTAGGGTACACGCGATCCTAGGGCGTCATCTAACTGACGCTGAAGGGCGCCTAAAGCGTCAGATATTGAAGCATGTCCAAATGCTTCCCAAGGCGTCAGTTAAGTGACGCCTTGGGGGTGAGAATGGGCTGAAAAAGAAGAGTGATCCATAGAGGGTTTAAATGTTTAGGCTATGCACTGTAAAAAAAAAAAAAAAAAAAAAATCTTTTCATGATTAGTAATCCAAACATTTTTTTCTTTGTCAAATCAACTTAAATAATTTATTTAGTTCAGATAACTAAATAAAGGTGGTGTCTTGATGTGCGTGATCTGTATATTTTAATCACAATACATTAAAACATCAATATTGCCTACAGAGACCGTGTGCGCTATTTACATCAACTCGACAAAACTCATCAGATACCGATCGCGATGCAGGAGTTAAGACCGCAGTTTGAGCCACCACCTCGAATTGATATGGCCCTGTGTCCAAAATTCACCCTCCTCCACTTCAGGTGAATGTGGGGGAGAAAAGTCCTTGACTTCAAATGACCGCTCTTTTGCAAAGCTACTTGAGTCACTCTCCGTTTTAGAGTCTGACAGCAGCTGTCACTGCGGGTCTCATGTCCACTCCCCCCGCTCAGCCCCGCCCTTGGTTCGCAAATATTGCCAGTAGGTCGAGTCAGGCTCTGACCAGGGGTTTAGTTACCCTTTAATAATCAATTTCTCAGCCCTGCACAGTTTCTGCTGAGTTTGGGATTCCAATTGCACAGGTTGAAGCCATTGGTTCAGCCTCGTCCATTTGAATTCTGGGCATTAGCGGCATAAATCACGCAGTTCCTCATCCATATGCCGACACAGACACAGTGAGCTGCTCTCATAAAGAACGGTATGAAACTGTAATGTCCCTGTCTGGGACAAAAAAAAGTAGCAAAAGATAATGAAGGCATGGTAAGACAGTTTTAGTATGACCTTCATATAACAAAAGAAAAAAGAAATCTATTAGTTTTAATAAAAAATTACCCTGTAGTGCCCGAAATTGAAGAAATGCTAAGCTCTGATCTTTTTCAAAATGACCTCAAACCAGCCCTGTATTTCGATCTGCATGCAGCGGAGACAGAAATGAAATATTATGAGCAGAAAATGTAATAACGTGTATCCCACAATTTGCACCACAGTAATGCAAAAAGAAAAACAAATAAGTGTAATGAAACACATTTATAGTGCAAAGCAATATAACTACAGTCCATATAACTATTTTAAAAATATCTACACAAATAAAGCAGTTAAACTGTGCCGGTACACTTTTGGATAGAGTTTCAGTTCCCCAAACTCCAGTCTCAAGCCTCTGCCAGATTCAGACTGGGCATAGAGCTGAGAGCTAGTGTTGCTTTAAAGTGATTAGTAATTATGTATCGTTTGGGGATCAAAGAAGACCTACTAACATTTCAGAGATTAGGGCTCCTTAAGCATGAGTCAGATGCTTTTCAAAGAACAACATGTCTGGTTGGTAAGACAAAAAAAGGGCTTATGCAATTATTACTGGAAGAGGCGCATGCCACTGAGATGCGTAATTATCAGTCTTTTATACTGGAACATTTTTTGGGTGTAATTTTTCTTGCATAAAAGTATCCATACGTGCGTCCGTCTATCCATCCAGTATTTGTAATGCAAACATAACAGATGAATTATCATTCATCATCTCCATGTTAAAAAGCTCTTAATCTGCTTCAAGGCAAGCCATTACAAACGAAACCAATGTTATTTCACAGCCCATTCTCACCCCCAAGGCGTCACTTAACTGACGCCTTGGGAAGCATTTGGACATGCTTCAATATCTGACGCTTTAGGCGCCCTTTAGCGTCAGTTAGATGACGCCCTAGGATCGCGTGTACCCACCCCCACCCCACACCTAAACCTAACCGCGTCCTCTAACTGACGCTTTCCTTTAGCGTCAGTTAGATGACGCCGTAGGATCGCGTCATGTAAGTGACGCTAAAGGGCGCCTAAAACGTCAAATATTGAAGCATGGTCAAAGGTGACGCCTTGGGGTGAGAATGCGTTGTATTTCAAGCACTGGTCAATTTTGAGACTGTAAGTTATTTTGCTTCGATAGCGTGTTCTTTCAGATAATTTTTTTTATTTATTATTTAAATTTTTTTTTTGATTGTTGACAGTTCTTATAGAGTGATAAAAAGAGACATCCAAAAATAAACCAAAATATGGTGATATCTAGTTAAATTTCACATGTAGTCTGGCCTTGAAATGTCATCACGCTGGCTGGGATGAGTGCTATCAGTGGATTTGAGCAAAGCACCATAATCTCCATTTACATTATAATGCTGCTTTTCTAACTTTTTACAACTCTGTGTACTCTCATCTCCAGGGAAGGATGAGAAATGGGGTGTTAGAGGAGGTTGATAGTGTGTAAGATAAAGTAACCCCACTCACTTTTAAAGGAGAAACCTTACTGTTGTATATTTTTAATCTCCTCATATTTCTCTCAGACTTTGACACTCTTATCATAGTCATTCAAGGCCTGCGGTTATCCATAGATTCACAGCCAATTCCAGATGCATCCAGTGACACGGGGTCCGTCATGGCACCCCCCGCCCTCCTTACTAAATCTGTTTCCCCCAACAAACCCCAGAGATCATGATTTTCAGAGATTTACTGTTACTATGGAGATGTCCTTGTGCGATAGAAGTTTCCCATTTGCAAGATGCTATCGGAAATGAGAAGTATATTATAAACAGTGTTATACAGAACAGAACACTAGGGTCATAGTTGTGTTGTTAAGGTTACACTTCTAAACTGTGACAAAGATGGACATTTTCGCTGCCAAAGCATTAACAATATATCTAAGCAGAATAATATGAGCATGTCCTTCAACAAGAGATCCATGAATCACAGGGTTCACATTGAGCCACACAACATGTTTTTAATAAATATACCAACCCGATCTCACGACCAAGTCGTACGAATTCGACGAATGATTAAAAAGTGGCTAATTCGTAACAATTCATACGACCTCACTCGTACGAATTAATACGATTTTGCTAAATCGTGCATATTTTACGAATTGGCCAATTCGTATGAATTCGTACGAATGACCTACCCCTTACCCCGCCCCTAAACTTAACCATCACGTGGGTTTAGACAAATCGTACGAATTAGTACGAGTGAGGTCGTACGAATTAGTACGAATTAGACACTTTTTAATCATGCGTCGAATTCGTACGAATTGGTCGTGAGATAGTGTTGAATATACGCCTCCTGCGCTCTCAGTTTAAAGCAGTTTATTGATTTGTAACTAAATGATGTATTAGTGCTTATTAGTGCTAATAATCAAGTGTAAACAATTAAAGTGTTTACACTTGATTATTAGCCAAGAGCTATTAAAGATTATCATCTCTTTTGAAACTGGATGTGATGATAGGGGATCAGACAGAATCTCTGCTGTGTGTGAGAGTCGGTTTTTCCTTTGAGATAAGAGATGTTATGTGTTAGTCAGGTGTTTAAGTTATTATTTTTATTATATATTTATTCATATCTATTTTTCTTTTGTATTTTTTTTGTATACTGTTAATAAATAATATTATTTTTATTATCATATTTTTATTAGTATTATATGCTTTTATGAAAACACTATTTATATCTACACTATATCTAATATTGATTTATTATAATTAATTACAATGAACACCATTTTGATTGTAAAGTATACATAAATTATTTTACCATGATTTACTAATACAAAATAATAATGACAGAACAGTTATAATGTCAGAATTGCAAATTGCATTTAATGCCATTAAAGAGATTACTGCATGTTAATTTGTTTTCTATGGAAAGTGCTAATTTTTATTGCACTACAGTATATTAAATAAAACGGCTATATCTATGCAACTGCAGGTCACACAACTTTACTGCTTTTTTGTTTTGTGTGTAGGCAACTGTCATCATCTCTTCTCATTTGTTTAGTTTTTTGCCAATTTGTTTTTTGGTCTGTCACAATTTCCGGAGACTAAACTACAAAACAAATGCACTTCCCTCTGTCTTTCTGCAGGCATCTCCATGCCGATCCCAGTGCTGGGTCTGCGCGATCACACCAAAGTTTTCAAGGATGGCAGCTGCCTATTGACTGACAATTCATTTGTGTTGATTGGGTCCTTTGTGGCCTTCTTTGTGCCATTGACCATTATGGTGGTGACCTACTTCCTCACTATCAGCGCTCTGCAGAGTGAGGCTACGCTCTGCCTTGATCAACTGGTGCCCAGGCCCAAATGGAGCGCAGGATTCACTCTGAACTTCCTCCCTAGCCCATCGTTCTCGCCCTCAGAGAAGAAACTGTTCTTGCGGCGTTCGTTGAGTCGCGAGGTGGGGACCGAGTCAGTGGTTGTGATGCCACCTTTCGGACGGCACAGCGTACAGTCCATCAGCAACGAGCAGAAAGCCTCCAAAGTTCTGGGCGTGGTCTTCTTCCTGTTCGTGGTCATGTGGTGTCCCTTTTTCATAACCAACGTTTTGGCGGTGGTTTGTGAGCCGGTGGCATGTGATGCCGATATAATGAATGGACTGTTGAATGTGTTCGTGTGGGTCGGTTACCTTTCCTCTGCTGTTAACCCGTTGGTTTACACACTCTTCAACAAGACTTACCGCTCGGCCTTTGCTAGATACATCCGATGCCAGTTTCACGAAGAGAAGAAACCACTACAGCAAATTCTGGTCAACACTATTCCACCGCTGGCCTATCAGTCCACACACCTGCCGCTTACTGGATCAATAGACAATGGGGATTTCTCTCTGCACCTTCCCAATAAAAACCACCATCTGTCCAAAAGCCGCAAAAATGAGAGTGTCAGCTGCTTGTGAATTCACTCAATGAACTCACAAATGCCAACCATAACCCTGGATTGTCTTCTGAGTTCATATTTGCCATTCTATCCTTCTTACCTCTACAGAAATCAGCTCAGATTGATCTAAAGTATTAGCATTCAAAGCCCAAATGCATCTATGAACAAACAGCAACACAGTCCATGACTTGATCACGGGGCAGTGATGTATCAAAAGACCTTTGTCTGACTGGGATCGGTCCTCAGTACCATCAGTGTCAGTTTAATCAATGGGATAAATAAAAATTGTGTATAAGTGTTAAGTCAGAGTTACTGTTTGATGTCAATACTTTTCAGTTTTATTTAGCACTTTATATTCCAGAAGGCAAAGTCTAAATTCATGGGAGATCAGCTGTGTTTTGTTTACAATGTCAGGTTTTAAAAAAAAACAAGTGTGGATAAAATTTGTGATGTGACTAAAGTTTTGTACTGCGTCAAATGATTGTTGCTGTAGCATCATTCATATGAGCTGACGTGTACAGTATGTGCTGCTGGTTTATCATTCTACCATACATTTGCATTCAGTGTCATGGAAAAGAACTAAAAGTATCATGTTTCTGTTTCCTGTTCAAGTGCCTGTTTCCACTTCAGAGTTTAATAAAAAAAGTTTATGAAATGAAAAAAAAAATATTTGATTAAAATAAGAAATAAAGTCAAACTGTAAAATATAAACATGTGAGATACACTACTTTTCAAAGGTATGGGGTTGGTAAGATTTTAAATATTTTTGAAATGATCTAATGGTCACAAAGGCTGCATTTATTTGATCAAAATACAGTAAAACAGCAATAGGAAAATATTACAGTTCAAAATAACTTTTTTTATTATTTTAAATAATATGTTTTAATATGTAATTTATTCCTGTGATGGCAATGCTGAATTTTCAGCATCATTACTCAGTGTCACAATCTTCAGTGTCTGTCTTCAGTGTCACACTTGACTCTGAGGTGGATATGGGCTTCCATAGAAACCTCCTCAAATAATGAATACTATCCATGGAAAGTCAATGTTGTTCTTTTCAAAAGGGAACTTAGTATGCACTTTTGCTTTTTCTGATTCCTGAGACATTTTGAAGTTAAACATATTGTTCAGATAGTGGCAGTACTCAAACCCTACACTTACATTTGTCATATTTGAAGTTCATTGAAAACATGCTTTTAAGATCACCGGTACGTTTTTGGTTCAGCATTCATGGCAACACAGAGAGCAATCTCGGGACCATTCATGCATCTCCTGAGGTTCCTTGTGATCAGCACCTTTCTGATTCTATTTCCAGTGTCTGTATTGACAATGGTGTTGTTGTTGTTATGGTGACGGTCATAAACTTGTTTGCAGATATTGAATGAGTCATCTCTGTTTCATGTTTCTGAGCGGATGAAGAACACTGAGTTACAAATATTTTTTAAGTCCAACGCTTGACCAGAATGGTCATAATTTGGCTCTGTAACAGGTGGCCATGACAGTTAGCCCATGAAGTTGCATTAATCCACACTGCACATGCAGGCTATATTGTACACTGCAGTTTTTGGACATTCTTTTGAGAAGTGAAAACGGAAAGTATTTCCATTATGCCAGGTCTTCCCAGGGTTACTCCACAAAATTTCGAATACAAGTGAATACGATACGATATCCTGTTCCATTAGCAGGAGTGATTTGCCAGTCCACCGCAGGCTCAAAACAGCTGTCTGAATCATCACTATGTTTGTTCATGGTTAATCAAATACAGGAAAAAATTGTGTTTTGATGTGGAAAACTGATTGTTGTTTTCAATATTAAGCAAAATAATGAAATAATGCTCGAGTACATTTCAATATACAATATATAAGATTTTATCAATTTACTGTAGGTATATCATTCTATAATAATATATAATTTGGGGTTTCTCATAGCGTTTCTTAACCTTTTTGACTAAAAGGCTCCCAATATTGGCTGAGATATTTTGATAAAATAAGAGTGGTGATGTAGGCTATCCATGATTTAGTTTGTGATTCCAGGATATTTGGATTGTGATAACCAAACCACCTTTGGAACCGAAGATACAATATTCACACCATGTCTGTAAATATATACAGTATATATTTCATTCAGTATCTGTGTATGACTGGACTGTGTGTGTCATAATCTACGTGTGGGTTGTGTCAGGAAGGCTTTTATGATATGACTGGCACCTGTGCGATTCCTAATCAGCAAGGTGCAGCAGCGGCTGCTGGGAAACAGAAGGCATTTTCTTTCAAAATGAAATAACCTTAAGGTGAATTTTTTAATACATTCATGTCATTTACTGGGCCAAAAAACATGCACACACACCTACACACAGACACACACATGTACACAGTTATTTAATTCAATTAAAGAATGCTTTGTAAACAGTTTAGTCTTCATGCTGGAGGGCTTCAACCAACCCAGAACTAACTACTACGCCCACCTAGAATATGACTATCAATCCTCCAGGGCTAGTGTTATATTTGAGGGTGAGAGAGAGATAGAGATAGAGAGAGATCGGGAAGTCAGGCAGCAATTCAAAGTTCTTTGAACTTTAAGCATGAAATGGCAACTGTCACATTTGCTCAAAAACGAGAGTGTGGAAAAAGAGAGAGAGAAAGCTGCCATAAGAGGCACGAGTAAAGAATGAACCCTGCTTGACACTCCTTTCATGAATTTTCTGGGATTCTCCTAAACCCTCTTTTGAGCTGATGCTAAATTATTCACATATGTCACATCACGCCTGTAATCCTATTAATGAATCACCTCCGTGATACATGGGACACTCATTAACAGAGAGCAGGACCGAATCAAGGTAACAGGCAAAAAAGATTTCTGAAATTAAAATGCCAATATCACCATATGTTATGGCCATATACAAACAAAACCCCTCTGTTTTTTTATCTTCTACCTTCTTTTTCTATCCCCTGTCCTTTTCTTACCTTGTGTTAAATTGCTTTTAGACTGACAGGTAGTATGAAATGATCTTAGATGCGGCTCGGATACAGCCAGAAATTGGCAGTAAAACTCAGCTCAGTTGAGCTTTTCACCGACTGAATTGATGATTTCAAGAGCTTAATGTCTGCTTCCTTTTGACTATGGATGCCTGACCTTTGTGGCTTCTTTTTTCAAAAGCTGTTGATAGCTTCATCTCCCTGATGGGATCAACCATTCAGTTCACATGTATTTTTCACACATAGGCAAGTGTGACACTTTGCTATTACCAATAATACGGTCTAGGCACATAAATAGGTTGATGTTCATATAGCTGAAGACAATCAGAGATGCTGGGCTTTGTGATCTGGGCTTTGTTCTGGCTACTTAAAGATATCATAAGGTGTATTATGTGTTCCCTTTCAGTCGTTCACAACGTTCAACGCCTATCACTTCGGAGCCGATCGTGTTTGATGTCTCTGAGTGCTGTTGTTTTCAATGAGCGAGTGTGTCGGTGTTCTTCTGGAAAGACTCTCCCGGTGCTGGTGGTTTCTACAGTGCAGTGCAGTGGTGGTCTCAAGCTTTGAGCTCTCAACTGCTGATTTTTACAGCAAACACATTTCTGTGTTTGTGTGTGTTGACGGCTGGTTGAGGCTGGAAAAGTGAGTGCTTCAATGTTTCCGTTTGCTGAATTCAGTTTCACCGCGGTCATTCCCTGTGTGCTCCGGCACTTGTGACGGGTCCCATTTCTAAGAGCAACACGGGTGCGTTTGCGTCTTTTTCAAGATGCCATTCCATCCATGCGTTTCTGGGTGCGGTAGGGCTCTGTCCCCATCTGACGATCACCAGAGTTGTTCACGTGTTTGGGCTTACAGCACTCTGAGGCAGCTCTTGTGGATAAGTCATGTTCCCATTGCGGGAATATGACCGTCTCGGTGTTAAGGTCGAGACTCGCCTTCGTTCACAAGGTTGGAGTCCCCACTTTCCCGTGCCCCGCTCTGGTGTTTCTTCTGAACTACCTTCCAAGAAGAATGAGTGGAATGGCGAGCAAGCAAAGACACCTGAGCAGATCCAAGTACCGCCTGGTTGAAGCGAGTACGTGAGGACACTAGCTTCACTCGGAGATTATAGAATCTGGCGAATGTGTTGGGTGTCCCCCTGCAACTCTGCAGATGTCTCTTAGCGAGGCGCCATGCGCTAGAGCTCAAGAGAAAGCCACACTTCGAGGGGACCTTCACACAAGGGGGAAACGGTCGACCTTGCTGCTGGTATGGCCTTTCCCTTCAGCTCCCCATCATAACAGACAATCAGCTGATCAGAGGTCCTGAAACACTGAATTCTGTCTAAGCACGGAGGGGGCGTACTGGACAGAGCGGGGCAATGCTAATAGGTTCACCACCTGATCTCGAAAGGGAGAGGTGGGTCCCTAGGGCACATATCTCAGGAACACGTAAGAATAGGCCGGCCTGAATTCCAGGCACGCTTCGTCAACGGAAAATGCGTGCAGGTCCCCTAACCTCTTGGAGGCCAATGCAACCAAGAGTAGTAGTAGTGCAGGGTAGTTAAAACCACTGAGAGGTCCCAAAAGGGAACCTTGTGTGAAACAGGAATGCACTAAATATTTAAGCGTTTTTTGTTAAAGTCTCTGCAGCTAGTGTATTTGAATTTTATTTATCTGCAACATTATGTTAAATTATTTATGTTTTACATAATACATGTTCTCAAAACTATCTATGTTTCTTAACAAAAAGTTTAGCAGTTTGGCTTTCCTTATGATCTGTTCTGAAATGGTTGCATTGTAATTTTTATATTGTGATATATATTGTTATCGCAAGAGGTTGGCTTTCCGTTGTTAAGTAGAAGTCCTTCGACCATGCTAGTCTCACGACAGGGAGCTCAGACTTACGCAGAGCACTGGAAGACAGCCGACTGGCGTGATTAGACTGGGAACCCCATTTCGTTGTCACTGCATAACTCGTATTGACTACAAAACGGAACATCTCGGTTATGGCTGTAACGTTACGTATGTCTCCCTGCCCCTTTCGCTGTACAGTAGTAGTTCAGTCTTGGCTCCTCAGTAAGTAAAATAACTCCATGTTGCCAGCGTACTTCCTTATATACCTACGAGGTGGGGTGGAGTTACGCTATGCAAAATCCGCAGATGGCATTTATTTGCCTTTGACTCGTTTTGTAATACTCAAAGTTGATAGGCTTTCTAAGCGAAACCCCACTTTGTAGTCACAACGTAATATCTCTGTTCCCTACTCACGGAACGAGGGTTACATCCATAAGCGAGACGATATTTTGTCATCCAGCATCAGAGGAAAGCTTGGCAGTTGAGTTATTGCGCTCTGTCTGTTCAATAAGTGCACTTTGTCTTTTTGGAATTTTCAGTGTCAAACTGACTGTACAACTCACATTATTTATACACATTTAAAAAAAAAAAAAAAAAATTATTGCATAGCATAGAATAGTTTATAATATATGAGGTAGTACACCAGTACAGAATAATTTGGAAACATTAGTACTGGGTGGATCGGTGATTATAATTGTTTAATGGATTAATGCTGTGACCAGATAAGGCAAAAGACTTTTGGAGGTTTATTAGGAAACCTATAAAAAAATGTTGAAGGTAAATGCCTTTACAGTTGGCTGATGGAGAGAGACTGATTGTGTTCTTCCTGTTCTTCAGTACACTGTGTTTCTGCAGTTAAATGAAGTAAGCATTCCGTTCC